TGAAAATTCTCTCTCTTTTGAGTATTCCGTTTCATTTCCAGCAAACGGTCATTTTGGTCTTGCAGTTGCAGAAAAGGTTTATGCTTTTATAGTTAAGGGTTTATAGTTAGGGCCTGTTTGGGCTAGAAAAGGGGTGGGCCGCTAACCTTGTTCGGGTTTTGCGCATATATATATATATATATTTGTAGTTGAACGTTGAAAAGTAAGAATAGATTTTTTTTTTTTTCTCTCTTTTTAAATAGATACAATTTAGGGGTGGCTTGGTAAGGGATGAGAAACTTTTAATATGATTGTGTTATAACTTGAATTTTAAATATTGTCAAGTATTGCATAGACTTAATAACTGATTATGACACTCGGTGTGTGGTGATATTGATATTGATATTTGGTATTTATGCTATTGAAAATTGACACCCATTATTTAATGGGCTAAATATAAAATAAGAAAGATAAAATACTAATGTATTATGTGTATTTATAAACTTTTCAAAAACAAACTAAGAATTTATCATGAATCGAGTATTTGGGTCTAATAATTCATTCTCAACTATTAAGTATTTGAGTTAAGTTGATTGATGGTTTGATTTCTACAAACTGAAGACTTTTTATTTCCCCATAATTCCTCATATTAAAAAAAAACTAAGAATTTACTATATATATAATTATATAAATATGAAAAAGTGGGTATAAGTTTATAGTGTAAAAAGTTAGACGAAAAAATCTTAAAATTACATCATTTAATGAAATTTTATTAAAAAATTAAAAAGTTATAGTTTTTAAAGTATGAATAAAGTTATTTTAATTTTTTTAATGTACTTTATTAAAAATGGCATAATTTTATAATATTTTTAACCTAATTTTTTGCAAATTCAATGGATAATCATTAATTTCATCTAAATATATTTAAATATGAGTTAGGCATATAAGTATACAGATATAAACTCATTTAATAATATTAAACTATAAATATAGCAGTAATTATAAGTTTTTTTAATTTCTTTTAATACATTAAAAATCTATAAAATATATTTAATATTTATTTTAATTAATATTTTATATAATTTTAAAATAATAAAAAAAATAAATATTAAAATATTCTCATATAAAACTATAAACTATTATATATATATATATTTTTACCAATAAAAAATTGAAAAACGAGATAATAGTTATAATATTATTACATTGATAGTTTGAATCTTAACAAAAAAACCAAGGGACTGATGCAAATCCATCGCAGTTAAGGCAGTAATTGCTATAAACTACTATATTTAATACTTATACTTGGTAGGATAGGACCCCTTTTCATGCCCCATATTTAAATATACATCCGAGTAGGTCAGGTATCACAATTCTAGAATGTACTCAAACCCGACATCAGCCAGTTTATGATAGAATGGGCCTACTTGTGGACTGAATAGGAAACAATACTATTTCGTCCCTATTCTTATTTGGGGATTTCAATTGAGTTCCAAACCTTGCAAAAAAATTTTTTTCAATTATGTCCTTGCGTATAATTAGGATGGAAAATTAAACCCACATTGGTGCTTATATTAATTTTTTTTTTCAAATTGGATTTATGTTACCAGATACCAAATGAACCAATGTCTTCACTTTAAAAACAACAAAATTAATATTTGCATTTTCTCGGTAGAGTTTTTTTTACTTCAAAAAGTCTTTGTAGGCTCAAGATTTTTTTAAAAAAAGAAAAAAAGAAAAAAAGAAGTCTTACTAGACTTTATGTATTCCTAATGTGGATATTCTTTTTTTTTATTAAACGTAAAATTCTATCAACCAAGGAAATGAATAACTCTATAAAATTATTTTATAATATAGTTGACTTTAGGAAAAAAGAGAAGAGAGAATAAATTTTATCTATTTGATTATTAGAGAAATTAGAAAAGAGGGAAAGGAATAATTTTTATTATTTTATTCTTTAATTTATTTATTTATAAAAAAATAAAAATAAATAAATAAAAAGATGCAATTTTATTCCTTTTCTCGTCTCCTCTCCTCTTTATTTCTCTCAATACAAATATGCAAATGGTGGTTCGGACCTCAATTGGCACGAAATTAAGGTTTAGGATTCAATTGAAATTTTGATACAAGATCAAGACGAGATTGAACATTTAAAATCTTTGAACGGGACCCACAGCGAACATCCTCATGTCCAACATTAGACGTTGATCCCTTTAATCAACGGCTGAGAGGGCTCCAAACTTGATTTTTTTTTTTCCCCTCATTCTCCGTTAATCATTAACTTAGAACAAAAAAAATATCCAGACTGGGGACCACAGAGTCAGAACCACCTAGTTTGAACACGTGTGTCCCATGGGCCCCACCTTTTACCTCGACACTATCCTTCCCGGAAACTACTGGAGCAGAGACGTCTTTTCTTATATTTATATTTTACCAAAAATATAAAAACAAAAAATTAAAATTAAGAAAAAGAGAGAGAGAGAGAGAGAGAGAGAGAAGAATTACAGTTTCTCTCTTTCTCATTCTCCATAACCTACCTTTTTCTCTCCTGTGCTCTCACAAAGATCACACCAGGTCGGTCTCCAGAGTCCAGACTCCTTGAGCCTTTCATCATTTCTTAAATTTTGATTTTTTGGGGTACACGAGTGCATGTGTTTTTTGAGTTTTTAATCGATTCAAGTTGATGGTGATTGATGTGTAACAGGTGAGGGAAGAAAAGAGGAAGATCTGATGTACTTACTGGTGGATCTTAATTATACACATGATCATGATGGCCCTTGCGAATAAAGGTAAGTTTTTTCTTTACTCTTTGTTAATTACATTGATTTCTTGAGTTTAAAGTTTTGAACTTTGATCCCTTCTGTTGTGGTTTACTTCTGTGAGTGAAACTAGATTTGTGACTCCTTTTGAATTTAAATAGTGGGGTTTGTGGGTCGTGATTGTTTGGCCTTCTGCTTCATGGGGTTTTGAGGGTTTTAATTTTTGTAAATGTAGTTTCAATTTCTCCTAATGGGAGTGAACTCTGCGTGGGAATAGAATTTTATTAAGCGGAAAATCTTTATCTGCTATTTTTAATTGTGGTTGCTTATAGATAATTTGATTCAAATTAGGCACCCACCAATCAGTTACAGTTTATGGGACTTTAATTAAGGAGGATTTTGAGCAGGTGGGAGATATGGAATTCTAAATTGTAAGTTTCAAAAATCAAGGTTTTTTTTTTCTTAACATATATATAAAAGTTATGCTAGTTTGATCATATACTTTGAAAAACAAATTATGTGCGCTTTGAGAAGTTTAATTTGTTGTTCGGCTTTATAAGTATAATAACCTGCAGTCCATCTTTTAAAGTTTGAACTTGGAACAGTGTTGATTCTGTATTGGACAAATGAATAGAAAATGGTGTCAAAATTCGTAAGCAAATATATCTATATAATAAATTGGCTTATTTTGAGGAACCATACAAGTATCAGTTGAACAAAATATTTATCAATTAAGCAGAAGAGAGATGGAAGTCTTATCATTGATGTGCAATTCTATGTTATCTACTTATCTTCTAGACAAACCAGGTAAGCACCTTAAGAAACTCTATTTCATAAGAAATGAGAAGCCTAAAAGGCTCTATTTTAATTTTGTATATACCTCTGTTCTAGATTGCCCACTCTCAAGTTATTGTTCTGCCAGTAGCTTAGAGTTTCATTCATATCTTATTTCATTAATGAGGCATTCTCTCCTATTGGTTCCAGGCTCCAGCCACTCAACTTGTGGTTTATGGGTCTTATTTTAGAGGAATTTAGATTTCCAGGTTGAGCAATTTTTCATTTTAATTCTTTAGCAGCTGTGATTCTGAACTGGAGCTCTCTAGTCTCCATATCTCTAGCATAGCTTGAAAAGTTTTTCTTTTCATTTTCAGCCACTGATCCTCTTGGATAATGAGGTTTATTTTTAAATTTCTTTTTTTGGTATTAACCTCATGGTATC